CAAGATACAAAGAGCCATAGAGATCCTAAATTGGCTCCACCATCTAACTTAGGTTTTATGTTTTGTCTATTTGGCTTCCTAGAATGGAGCTGCTAGTCTGGGTAGGCATGTCACTGCATTTCACACAGAGGATTACTGCCATGTGAGTGTCTGACTGGTATATTGGAAAGACTCCATGGATGATAGATATGTTTATAAAGTCTTCTCTAACTTATTCCAGTCTTTTCTCTTTCCCTTCTTAAATTCTTATTGCCTTAATAACCATTATTGTGCCATTTGGTGCTTTATTATTTTATTATTTTAGCTATTCACTTTCTTTAGCAGAGTAAGTTCTTATAGACTGAAGACTTTGGCTTATGTTTTCTCTGTGTTTGCAATCACGCTAAGGATCTAGCTGTCCCATAGATAAATTTTAATTGATACTTCATTTATCAAATTTCATTTATCATAATGTGTTGACATAACTGTCTCCTAAAGTTACATGTTTTTCATGACTATCTCTGTTCATTTTAAAATGTACAATATAACATGGTCCATGGTTTCATAAACATTAATTATACCAAATCACAAGTGTATTTTTGAAAGCCCTCCAAGTATGGTTTCCAAGTATGGTTTGTTTTGTTTCTTGTTTTTGCATATATGGAAGGTAATGATAATATTAAATGGTCTATCAGCTCATGATAAGTTATAATGTTAGCTGATGGCCTCAATAAATAAAATAAAAACTATTAGTGTGAAGTGAAATGGAATATTAGGGATTAAACATGATAACATCATCTGTTAAGATAGGTGTATATATTTTTCCAATGTCTACAGAGAGAATGTAATAATACCATTTCCTTTTTATTAGGAGAAGCAAAAAAAGTCTTGCCTCCCCAGAGTTAAAAGTTCTAAAGTAGGAATGAAGTCATTGAACTTCACTGATTCCCTGGGGTAAGAAAATGAAGAACCTATAACTCTATGTTATAAATAAAGATATTGTCTAGAGAGTTGAAGTAGAAGGACTCCAGACAATTCACCAAAATTGGTGGTTAAAATTCTAATCTCCTCACAATGGAGCCACATCAGCCTACTGGATGGTATACCAGGTTTATAAACATAGCTTGATATAAAAAATGGTTTCTAGATTATAAAGATCACATTTAAATTTTCCAAAATAGTTCTCTCCTGAAGCTGTTCAGAGAAGCACATATAAGAAGGGAAGCAAAGAGAAAAATCTGGACAATTTCATGTTCAAATGACCTTGCTTCTTTAAAGCACATGACTGACTAGGTTCAACACTGGAATGATTCTTTTCTCATCATTATATTATCTGGACTAGTTACTAATGCTTTTCCTCTGAATATATTTTAAATTACTGTAGGGAGAAGAGAAATATAAAAGATGAGAACCACCACTCACATTTCTACACAATCCCCAAGGGGGAATCCAAGTAACCAGCAAACCTCTCCTCTGAGAAGTGTTTAACTGTGGTATGGTTAATCCATTTGGAACACCATGTTTTAAGTGTAGAGACAAAAAAGAGTTGCTGTAAAATCTTCTATTCTAACTCCCAAGAAGACAACAGTGGATTAGGTGACCAGAGAGACTACTTGGAAACTTGCAACCTTGTGGGGTTTCTGAGTCATGTCTTTAGTCAGGGATAAAGTGGGTTTTGAATGATGTGGCTCATGCTTCAGAAATGTTTGTGCTCTAGACTGAGGGGCCATATGGAAACTATGAACTGGCTTTTCAGACAGTGCCGTGGTGAGCCAAGGCAACATTTTTATGCTTTCTGTTTCTAGTGAAGTGGTCTAGTGAACAATATATTATTATCATAAGACATGGCATATTATATGACTTTGTTTAAGTTCTGAGTAGTGATTATTTTTAATGTTAGGAAGGTTTTTAATATAGGATCCTTCCTCCCTTCCTTCCTTCCTTCCTTCCTTCCTTCCTTCCTTCCTTCCTTCCTTCCTTCCTTTTTCTTTCTTCTCCTCTTTCTTTCTTCCACTTTCATTTAACAAAAAGACAAATTGTTTTTAATATTAAGTGAACTCCAATTCTTCTTTCTGGCTTACTTTGATATAGCAACAAAGTCATGGTCCGGAAAAGAAAAAGCTATCGAAATCATAGCTGTCAAAAATTTTCCTTTCAAAAAGATCCTATAATAATTTATAAGAGTTTCTTAAAAATTCTAATTACACAAAAAGGGAAAAGAAAGGAGGAAAAAGAAAAGGAAAAAGAAGAAGAGAACAGATAGAATTTTCTGGGAACTAAGAGGCAAGCATAATCCACTAAACAATTCATCTATTGGATGTACGGTGCTCCATAATTTGCTGCTTTATTAGAGAAGCAACACATATTTCACTTCAAGATTTCAGAAAAAATACACAACCAAAAAAACTCAAGTAGTTTTCTTTCCTAAATTGGGCTTAAAATTTAATGAGAAACTGTGTGGGTGACAAAAAATTACAGTTGTTGGCCCAATACCAACATGAAACAAATGAACAGCACTTATGTGATTGCATGTATTATACAGCACATGAGAGCTACAGAGAGCTAAAATTAATATGTGGACAATAACTGCACTGGCTCCTTGGAGGTACTCAGAAATGATTGTATGCACTCACTCAGCTTGTAAATCTTTGCAAAGACTAGGATGAAAAATGATCAGATTTCATTATTACAACTAAAATATAATGGTCTCAGATGCCCTTCTAAGAGGCAAAAAAAAAAGGAGACAAAAGATAATACGGGTATAACTGTTTAAAAAGGGGAAGAAATAAAGGAAATATAAATGCTTTTTTAAAGGAAATTTATTAAATCAAATGACATTGTATGCCCATGATTAGGAAAAAATAATATTTTTCCATATAATAAGTAAACCTCATATTTTTATAGATTATAATTCTTGGTTTCTGGTATTCTCTATTTTGATCAGAGAAAACTGTAAGAAGTGTTCATCCCAATTCATCAAAACAAATATGTGCTTTACATTCATAGCCAATCAGCTGAACCAAAGATGAAAACAAAATGGCATTTTATCTGCTGCAAGCAGAGAGGTTAGAATAACTTCAATGTTTAAAATTAACTGTAAGACTAATTTTAAAATTAAAAAAAAGCAGATAATTTGTATGTGAAACACATCAGGTGTTTTTTTTTTCTTCTATATACTCTTTCATTTAGATCTTGCTTTAAAATGTTTGCAATGATTTGAGTTTGGCTTCGAGCTATTACCTACCTTCAAAAGAGAGATGGTTAGTAATTGCGATTAAATTTCTACACTTTGGTTACTAGTCTTCTTTGCACTTTAACAGACTATATGCTCTTGCAAACTGTCTGCCTCCATTGACAAAAATCAACTATACAATCACCAGAACATGCTTCTCTTGTCATTGCTTTCTTTACTCTTTTTAAAAGAGGTTCTTTGAATGCAAGAAGAAGTCTGTTCCAGAGGACGTAAGTCCACAGTCATGAGGCCCCGTGGGACCCCCAAAAGCCCGTTGCATAGCCCAGGGCTCAGCAAACCATTTCCTCCAAAATGCCATTTGAGTTCAGGATTAGATTTGAAATGCCTATCTTTTAAGATGCACTCGGTTACTAACAAATATAATCAAGGCTTCCTTAAGACTGGAACACCAGTTGTATACTGTACTACATTTTTTAAAGGAATTGCTTTTGAAATGCCTTGCTTTGGACATAGTGATTGGTAGAGAGCAAAACCAATGTTATGTTCTTCACCATTTCGGTATGATAGGAAACATCCCTTACAGACACCAAACACTACATGAAGAATAAATAATAATAGTAAACTTAAAATCCAAGACATAATAAACTTAGGCAGTTTAATATTAATTTTTATTAAAATCTTAATATACAGATAATATGTCTGTTTTATACTGATAAGAGAGAATACATTTAACACTTATCTATTTGTTTTGTGGTATTAGGGTTTGAGCTCAAAGCTTCACACTTGCTAGACAGGTGCTCTACTTCTTGAGCCAAACCTCCAGCCCTTTTTATTCTGGCTGTTTTTGAGATAGGGTTTCAAACACAGATATGAACTGCAAAACCAAGATTTTCCTGCTGAATTGGGTTTTGTTTTTGCCTGAGCTGGCCTGGAATTGTGATCTTTAACTCCCCCATATAGTTTGCATAATGGGTACATGCCACCTTATGTACCGTATTGGTTGAGATGGGCCTTCAAGAACTTTGTACCTCTGGCCTCAAACCTTGATTCTCTTGGTCTCAGCCTCATAACTTGATAGACTCCTAGGCCCACCAATTTGATACTATTCTCTAATGTCTTTGGAAAGAAAAGGTCAATCAAGACCTGTAGATGACAGCAGTGCATGAAAGCACACTGCCTTCTACACAGTTTGGTGTTACACACACTACATGCAATTCTGAACACATGCGACTTGCATTTTTTACTATGAGTAGTATTAACCTAAAGTTTTTTTTTTTGTCTCTGGTTGTAGAACAATGAGATAATCCCAAGTGTGACAAGCATATCAAGAATCTTCTGACCTTCTGTTTCCTTTAGTTGTCCTATTCATTTTGTAGATCATCACTGGGGTAGGAGAGGAATATTATCTTATAACGCAATGCATGCACTGCATATAGAGAAGTAGGTATCTCTTCTGAGTAACAATGAAGAAAAACCATGAGGAAAACAACATGATATATATATATGAAGGCAAAATAAACCAAAACAAACCAACAACAACAAAAAAAACCCCAAAACAACTCAAGATTAAAAAAAAAACAACAAAGGCAACCAACAATAACAACAAAACAAACCACACATTGAAAAGAGCAAAAAATTTCTAGGAACAACAAAGATGATGACAACTGATGTGAACATTTCAAGATACTCTACAAAAAAAAACCAGCATTATTCAGCGGAATGCAATGAAATTGGAAAAAGAAGCTACAAACCACCTCACAAGACATGGCAGAATCATGAGGAATGAGCAGTTATGGATATAAACCACAGAAAGGATTTCTTTTCTTACTTGCACAAATATCTTGAAGGGTTGGAAAGGTCTTTCACCATGAAGCACTCGCCTCCATTCACACAGAAAGTTTTCTCCTTCTCTGCGCACTTGACAAGATGACTTGTACCAGTGGTAGATGTAGATGTAGCTGGATAAAAGATAAAGGAGGGAAAAGGTTCATATCCATTCTCAACCCTCTCCTAATAAGGCTTTCATCTTACATTCTCCTAACAGAAGGAGTTCAGATGAGTTAATTGGACCTCACCAATGTTTCAGATTTGACAAACAAGAGCAAGGAACTACATAGATGCAAATTATAAAAATTTAATTCTAGTTAATTTATTATTACTTTTGGTGTGCTGGCCTGGGTCTAGAACTCAGGACCTGGGTGCTGTCCCTGATTTTTTTTTTTTGCTCAAGGCTAGTGCTCTACCTCTTGAACTACAGTTCCACCTCTAGCTTTTTGAAGGTTAAGAGGAGAGAGTTGTTTCACAAACTTTTCTCCCTGGGCTGGCTTTGAGTCTTGAATAGCTAGGATTACGTGAATGAGCCACCAGTGCTGGGTTTTAATTTATTTTTTAAAAAATTAAATAGCACAGTGTCATCAACCTTTTAAATAACCAGTATTGTATCTTGAAATGAGATGGTGTATTGTCATTAAGTAAATTTTTTTTTCCAAATGGTCTTAAAGGTGTTGGTACCAAGTCACATTAAGGAAGCACAATTTGGGTATCACTTCTTCAACAGGCTAACCAATTTTATTATTTACTTTGGAAATTATGCTCATGTCATCTTTATGTAAGGCAAAAGCTCTACCACTGAGCCACTTTCCCAGCCCCTTCATGTCATCTTTATGTATTTTAAACAATGTACAGAAAAGGAAAATAGGCTTGTTTGTTCCAAATGAAAAAATATATATACTATAATTGAATATATACTAGCATACAATGAAAAAAAGTTATAATCGAGTTTATTATATTAGCATACAGTTTAGAAACTCTTTTCTACATGATTGTTATGCTACCCGAATTTCTTCTGTTGAAGATCATTATTGACTGTCTAATTCCCAACACACTTTTGACATCTTAAATGTCTAGAAATGTAGAACAAAGTACTAGAAATTTTATTTTTATTTTGTATTAGGAGTAGAGAAACAAGGCTTAATTCTAATTGTCAATGTCTTCATGTGTAACTTGCTATTCACATGTTAAACTTCACAGTTATACAAATGACCTCCCTATATACATAGGTCAGATACCATAGAACAGGGCTCAAACTACACCAGAAAAAAATCCTACTTACTGCTGATATTAGCAGGATAAGAAGCAAAGTCAGTATCTAACCAGTGAAAACTCTATGTACTCTTTCAGAAAAATAAAAGCAATCTTGAGATAAATTAATTTCTTGTCTACTGCTTCATACCTACAATGTGAACTCCTAGTCTGGCCTATCCATTTCTTATTTATTTATTTATCTGTTTATCTATTTATTTGTTGTTGGTTGTGAGTCGTGAACTTTGGGTGCTGTCACTGGGCTCTTTGCTCAAGGCTAGTACTCTACCACTTGGAGTCCCAGCGCCACTTCCAGTTTTCTGGTGGTTAATTGGAGATAAAGTCTCACAGACTTTCCTGTCCTGGCTAGCGTTTAACTGCGATCCTCAGATCTCAGTCTCCTGAGTAGCTGCCATTACAAGTGTGAGTCACCAGCACCTGGCTCAAACATTTATATTATTTTTATTCAAGTGTCAGATGCTCTTTTTTATGTTTACTTGACCAATCAGATATTAGTTTCTATTTGAATCTGCCCTTGTATCCTTTCGAAAGCCCATATTTTGTTGTGACTTTTAATTAATTTTGTCTTCCATCTTGACTTTTACTCTATCTGATTACATTTATTGTTTCCTAATTCCTCATAGCCTTTCTCGTCTCTTGGTCTCATTAGTTACCCTTCAATTTCTCCATTTAGAAAATAGGCTAATGGCATTTTGGAGGATTTATGCAGAGATTATAATCTATGTGAAGAAATCTAGCTTCAAACCATAATTGGACAAATAATAACAAGTAAGTATTGATAAGCAAGGAGAGAAGAATATCAGTTTTCAAAGTTAGTAATCAGATAAAACTCTTCATATGCCAGGCACCAATGGCTAATGCCTGTAATCCCTGCTACTCAGCAGGCTGATATCAGGAAGATCATGTACAGCCAGGGAGGAAAATCTGCTAGACCCTTTCTCAACCACTAGCTGGACAGAGTGGCATGTTCCTATAAGCTACTTACTTGAGAGGCTAAGAAGGGGAAGATGGCCAGTTCCAGGCCAGCCTGGGCAGAAACATCCTTAAAACTCCATCTCAATGAAAAGAAACAGGGCATGGTATCATGCACCTGTCATCACAGATACCACAAAAAGAGAAAAATAGACAGACCACGGCTCAGTCATGTGCCAGGCCCTTATCTATAAAACATCCAGCACATAAAGAAGCTGGAGGTGAGACTCAGTAGGAGAGTGCCTATTCAATTAGCAAAAAGGCCCTGAGTTTAAATCCCAGAATGCCCCAAACAAACAAATCTGACAAAACAAGAATCCAGGCATTATAAACTATATTATTATTTTTTTTTGTCGGTCATGGGGTTTGAACTCTGGGCTTGGGCGCTGTCCCTCAGCTCTACCACTTAAGCTAATGCACCACTTCTGGTTTTCTAGTGGTTTTTATGGGAGATAAGAGTCTCACAGACTTTCCTGTCTGGGCTGGCTTTGAACCGTGATCCTCAGAACTCAGCCTCCTGAGTAGTTAGGATTACAGGCGTGAGCCATTTATTGAATTGTTATTGCAGATAGTTAAGAATTAATACTTGTCCCCTTTCTTGAGGTGCTGGGGATTTAACAGGGATTTCTCTGCACATGCTGAGAAAGAGGTCTACTATTTAGCTACCTAAGGGGCCTAAAGTCCCTTTCAGAATTCCATTCAAGGAATCCTTTACAGGTTTACAAACAAACCAAACCATCTTTCTGAAAAGAAAGCTGAGTTACATTTCTCGAGGATCTGGAGTGCTTTAAAAGAACCTTTGATAGAATGAGATGAAGGCAAATTTGCATCTTTGGGGCTGTAAAACCACAGGGGTAGACAACACTTCTATACATTACATAGTGTATAACTTAGACCTGATACTACCTCTTCAAGTGAAAAACTGATCATGCACATGCAATATTGAATAGATACTAATATTTTTTCTCTGTGACAATTCTTGTAAAAGATCTCAGGAAGAAGGCTTGCCTCTGCTATTAAACATTTTGTGCTGACAGCCTTCCAAGCAGTGATAAATTGGGCTGCATATCCTTGCTACCTCAAGTGACAGCATGGGATGGACCACCTGCTGTGGGCTGTCACCAGGCTCTCCGGCAGAACCTTGCAGAACTGCAAGCAGATCCCACTGGTGTTTGAATCCCTGACAGGTTGCTGTGGATTGAAAGGTCACCCAAAGAAGCAGCAGAACTACTCGGATTCTTTTACAATAAATCCTGAGACTTCCACAAAAACCCAAACCAGCATCCTTTCCCCATTCCCACCCTACAAATGCACAGGACTCCACACCAATGGTAGACAAACTATAAAAAGTAGCCCTAATATAAGACAGACATATCATCCTACTCCTTAGACAAACGAGTCTAATTCTGGCGGGATTGTCAACATGAGTTAAAATGAATAAATAAATAAAATTTTTTTTTTGGCTTCAAAAGAATATTTCTCCCTGAAGTGATTACCCCTTTATAATGCTATCCCAACACACTTAGGTCTCATAAGTTCTTAGATCATTATTTGAAAGTATTTCTGGGATATTGATAGGAAAATTTTTTAGAGCAAAAATAAGTGGCTCGGATCTCACAGTCAAGGACTAATGTGCTTAGAACTTTTATCCTCTAGCAGCAGCAAGATTTAAAAACAAAAACAAAACAAAAACCTCACCAGATCATGAATTGCAAAGTAGCAATTAACTCCCAGGTGAAAGTAAGCATGAACTGACAGGATGCAGCTGCTCAGAACCAACAGCCAAACACAAGAATAAGCCATAGGTGTCAGAAGAAGGATGATGGACAGAGATGGTAAAGATATTGCTATCCATGTACTGCAGATTTCTGCCAGGTTTCCATTCACTCTTCCTGGTGAACACAGTATAGTTAGTCTCTGCAAGCCTATGCATTTTGCAGTGATGTCCTTTCTCAGTTTCTATTCGCTAATTCTTTCAGACAAAGCAGATCATGCACCAAACCATGCCTTCCCAAATCATCAATCCTTCTGAGTGAGCTGGGAGAAGCTGACTAGAGGTAGAGCAGAAGATTGTGCAGGTAGACTGGATTTCAGTACATAAAAAATTAAAATTAAAGAAAAAGAGCCCAGTAGCTGCTCCAGAAGGAAATAAAGTAGATCTCACTCGTTCAAAGCTTAATAAATCCTGTCTCCAGAAAGGAACCTTACTTCATTGTTGGTGGGAATGTAAACTTGTTCAACCACTTTGGAAAGCAGTATGGAGGTTCCTCAAAAGACTTCACATAGAACTCCTCTATGACCCAGCAATCCCACTTTTGGGCATTTATCCAAATGTTTACAAACAAGACCACACTAAAGCTACCAGCACAACAATGTTTATTGCAGCATTATTTACCATAGCTAAGATATGGAACCAACCCAGATGCCCCTCAGTAGATGAATGGATCAAGAAAATGTGGTATATATACACAATGGAATTCTATGCCTCCATCAGAAAGAATGACATTGCCCCATTTGTTAGGAAATGGAAAAACTTGGAAAAAATTATATTAAGTGAAGTAAGCCAGGCCCAAAGAAACATAGGTCCCATGGTTTCCCTTATTTGCAATATCTAGTATATGTATGAGTCAAGCGGAAAAGGTCAGATAATGTGATGTCAGGAAAATGAACCCTTAGATATGTATTTTAATGTTTTTTTCTTTCATGCATGTTTCTAATGCATTTATAAGATTATCTCTTTGTTGTTTTGTATGTCCCTCCCCCACAGTATAACCCCTGCTTTCACTATATTTGATGTCAGTATAACATGTGGAGGAAGTGGGGAAAAACCAGTTGTTTAAGGATACAGGTGGACCTGTTGCAACAATGAGAAGTACAAGTTGTC